CACCGCAGAGCGCAGAAGACCTATGTGTGCAGGCACATCTTACTGTGCTCGGGCCGTGTACAGATGGGGGCCGAGGTGGGAGTTACACAGCACCCCTGGAGCTGGGAGAAGTCTGTTAAGGCGCCACCCGGGATGCCTGCAACCCCATCAGAGTGCCTGAATTGGAGTCTCGGCTCTGCTTCCCACTCCAGCTTCCTGCTGACGCACACTCTGGGAGGCAGCAAGTGATGGCTCAACTTTGGGTCTCTGCCTCTCCCCGTGGGAGTCTGGCTCCAGCTTTCCACCTGGCCCAGTCCTGGCTGCTGGGGTCATTTGGGGGAGTAAATCAATGGATGGAAGACCTCTCTGTCTCTCTGCCTTTCGAGTGAGGTTTTCTTGAAAAACATAATAAAAGTTTTAAAACTAACAGCAGCACAGCCCTCTGCGCCTTGATTTTGGACCCCGGCCTCCAGAGGTGTGAGAACGTATTTGTGCTGTTGTACAGCACTGATCCGTAAGGATTCACTGTGTCGGTGCAGGAAGGTGAGACAGGAAGCCTCAGGGCAGAACAGGCAGGAAAAGAGGCGCGGGTGCAGGGGAGGGCGGGCCTCCCCTGGGAGGGCGCAGCAGAGACAGCCATGGTGTGCCCTCCCAAAGGCTGCAGGGTACCTGGGCAGGGGTGCCTGCAGCGTCAGAGGCGTGCCCTTGTGAGCAGCTGTGTAAACTCCACAGGCTGGGACCCTCTACCAGGGCAGCGCGGTGGGTCATGCTGTGAGGTCCAGCCATGGAGTTCATCTCGACCACCTCTGACAGCTTAAAAGTGCCCATTACTGAGCCAGGCTGTGAGTGTCCCAGCCATCCTCGGGCACATAATGCTGACCTGCAGCCAGGAGAGGGGGGCCCAGGAGAGGCCCTGCCAGAGCCTGCTTCCAAATGCTCCCCTTACCCTCAGCAACCTCAACTGTGGAGGTCTGAGACCCCCACTGCAGGTGGTACAAGGCAGCCATGTACCTGGCCCTGTACCTGTGTTTAACCTGCCTGTGGGAGGGAGGAGAGGGGGCTGGCCCACATAAGCAGGTGTCGGGGCTTTTGTTTAATGACACATGTTGGAAGTAGTCTCTTAGCTGAGAGTTCAGGTACAGGAGTTATTGCAGATGTGAGCCTCACCTGGCTGGGAGTCTTGATTTTTTTTTCTTCACTTCTTCCAGTGAGTAGGTTTAGATGGTAGTAGGGTGGTGAGAAGCCAGTGAGTGCATGCATTGAGAGAACATGTGTGGGGTGTGTGGTGTGTGTGTGTCTGTGTGTGTGTGTGTGTGTGTGTGTGTCTGTGTCCCAAACAAGAGAAGGCAGAAGACCTGCTCTGCTGATGTCCCCAGCCCAACACAGTGGCATCTCCCCAGGGCCTGCCAGGAGAACGGACTCTGTGAGGGCAGAGCAGCCCAGCTCCACAACCAGGGCATCTCAGCGGCCCCTTGGGCCACAGGCACAGTTAGGCCCAGACCAACCCCTCTGCTCTCCACGCTGAGGGCAAGGACAGTTCCCATGGCCAGGCCGCTTCCCCTCCTGCCTCTCCAAACCCAGAGCAGGTGCGTGACAGGCACTGGCTGTGTGGGTGGGTGAAGGAAGTGGGGGTGGGGAGGAACACACAGAAAGGCAGGAGGGGGGCCAGTGCTGTGGTGTAGTGGGTAAAGCTGCCACCTGCAGTGCCAGCATCCCTTATGGGTGCAGGTTCAAGTCCCTGCTACACCGCTTCCAATCCAGCACTCTGCTATGGCCTGGGAGAGCAATAGAAGATGACCCAAGTCCTTGGGCCCCTGCACCTGCATGGGAGATCTGGAAGAAGCTCCTGGTTCCTGGCTCTAGATCGGCACAGCTCTAGCCATTGAGGCTATCTGGGAATTGAACCAGCAGATGGAAGATATTCTCTCTCTCTTTCTCTCTCTACCCCTGCCTCTCTGTAACTCTGCCTTTCCAATAAATTAATTAAAAGGGGGTGGGGGTTACACTCCATCCTGGGAGCTATCTGGGCCTCTCAGCATAGGGGACAGGGCAGGCTCTTCCAGGCTGATAGCATATTTACTGGGGGGTGGCTGAGACAGTCTCTGTGCAGGGGGAAAACTTGGGGAGAGGGTGAAGTCTGTCCCCAAGCCAGGGTTCTACTTTCCAAGCACCTTTGCTACATTAAGAAAAACAAAACGACATTCCCTCCCGCCCTGAGGCCGGCCAGTGGGGCTGGGGGTCTCTGGGCCCCTTCAGATGTAGGTGGAATGTCCTTCACAAACAGGCTGCCAGCGGTGGCTGGAGAGCCGGTCCACAGGCCAACTGGCATCTCCCCCACTCATAGCTTCTTGTGCTGCATGGGTGACCTTGCAGCTTTGAATCACAGCTCCAGGTGGGTGCACTCTTTCACCCACAGCTGGCAGGGGAAGGGGCTGAGCACCTGGGGGGAGTCGGACCGGCTCCAGGAGACCCTGGCTATCTTGTGTGACCTTGCGGTTTTAAACCATGCCTTCAAGTTAGTTGCCATCTTCTACCCAGAGCTAGCAGGGAAGAGGCTGGCCCCTAAGGAGACAGTCTCCAGGAGACCCCGGCTATCTCCTTGAGCCCCAAGCCAATCAACATACATACGTGAAACCTCCATCCAATGGGCGCCCCCACAGAATGACCCAGTGAAAAAAACAGTAATGCCTTAAAACCCAGGACACTCCCTCAGAGCCAGTGTCCCGCTCGGGCACTCCGCCTGCTCGCCTCTCTGATCAGATGTTTTCTCTATCACTTGCCAATTGAATAAAAGTTTCTGCCTCTTTGCAAATTGTTTCCTGGCTTTTTATTTCTATATTAAGCTGAGGAAAAGAACCCACGAGACTCGCTCAGGCAACCGCCCTCCCCTCTGTGGCCAGTAACACCGCCTCCCCCCTCCCCCCTCCGTGAGTTCATTAAAATGAGCCTGTGTGTGCACGGAACCGGGAGCTCAGCCTCCCAGGCAATCACCCCTCTAAAGGGCACTGGGGAAGGAACTGCCCTCGCTCGGAAAGGGGGGGAGGGAGAGGTGGGAATATCCTGCTAAGGGCACAGGCAATCACCCCTCTAAAGGGCACTGGGGAAGGAACTGCCCTCGCTCGGAGGGGGGGGAGGGAGAGGTGGGAATATCCTGCTAAGGGCAGCCCGCTATTTCTCTTGGGGATTTCTCTCCCCCTGGCTCTGACTCTGGGTCCCTGGGGCCTCTCCGTCTTATGGGGTCTAAACCCTGAGGCACACGCTTTCTCTCCACTTGTGTACCCAAGGGCATCTGTGACACCAGTCATGGCCAGGCCCTGGGCCGGACCCACAAGCGCAGTGGTGGAGCCAAGGTGGGTGCTGGCCTTGGCCCAGCCCAGAGCCCAGCTCAGAGACAGAGCCTGGAGGAGCTGCCATTATGGTGACACGGGGCCACAGGAGCTGAGGACAGAGTGCGGTGATAAAGCAGGGCCACGGAAGGGGAGCGGAGTGACAGGACCTCGCTCCCGGAGCAGACATGCTCTGAGCCTCCGAATCAGAAGAATTCTCCCAGCAGGAGAGGGGAGAGGAAAGGGGAGTCAGTGAGACAGGAATGGGAGGCTGTCTATGTACCCACACGGGGGGCAAGCCAAGAGGCCGCGGAGCACGGGTGAGTGACAAGCACTGGGCAGGGGCGGGTGACAGTGCTACGGACATAGGGGGTGAGATTTCAAGGGACTTTCACCCAGCACTGCCAAGAGTCCCACTGTTATCCATGGGCCACCAGCAGGAGGCACTGTAAGTCATTAACATTCAAAAGAGTCACTGGCACATCCTAATAATCTGAGTGACACACACACATGCATACATGTGTACATGTATGCACACATGCACACGCACACACATAAACGAGAGCCAGGTCAGACTCCAGGACGGACATCTGCTGGAGCTGTTGTCTCTCAGTCCCTCATCAGGAGGATGGGCTCTCGCAAGCCCCTGCTGGCCAAAGCCCTGGTCCACATGGAACCAGCCCAGCAGAGCCAAGGGGACCACTTCGACGGCCAGGCCCCAGGGCGGTGCAGTCACGCAGGCTCCTCTCCCACAGCCACCTGCCCCTCCCCTCCAAGTGCCCTGGGACCCAGTATCTCAGACTACATCAGGGTCAAGGTCAAAATCAGAGGCGGGCAGGGGAGGGGCCATAACCGAGGCCCAGACGAGGGTGGTCTGAGTGAGACAGGCAGACCACAGAGTAGACGTGGACACAGAGTCCACAGAGCACCCTCCTCCTCTTCTCTGCACCCAGGAAGGGTCAAACGACTCGAAACAGCAGTCCCCAGCGCCGTCTATGAATATCTGTCCCTGGAGGGCACAATGACACAAGAATTCCATGACCAAACACACTGTACCCTTGTCTGCAAACCAAAACCATGCAGTGATGGAGCAGAGGCCTGAGCAGGCTTGCGGCCAACTTCCTTTCCCTAACTGAACCAACGCCCTCCCTTTATTCCAAGAAGCACCAACTAACACCTCTTGGAACCAGGACCTCACAGAACCCACTAGCTTAGAAAAATCCATTAATGCTTATTTCTATCTTCAGGAAGAAAATTGTAATTTTTTCTTAAAAAGAGTTGAAATGATTAAGTTTATACTTTTTGTGAAATAGCTACAGTTGCAAGTTTCTGCTCCTCTTGCTGGTGGTGCCAGGAGAGGGCGTGGGGCTGACTTGCAGGGCCACCCGGAGCCACCTCTGCACCTGCAGTTGACCCCAGATCGCCCTTCTACAGGCAGGAGCCACAGTTGTCCCCCTGTCCTGTCCCCGCTCACAGAGGGCAGGGCAAGCCATCACACAAGGCTGTCCAGGGAAGGAAGCCCAAGGCTATGTGTGTGTCTGTGACAGAGAGAGGGGAGGGGTCCAGAGAGGGGGTGTGTGTCCAGCTCACATCCCAGCTTAGCAGGCGCCGAGTGAGGCCAGCCGCGCTCTGCACTCTGGGAGCCGATGGCCCGGGTGGCTGGGGAGGAGGGCGGCCACCCGGGAGGGACCTCACCTGGTACGTGTTGTCGAAGCTGTCGTACATGAACCGTGTGATCAGAGACGTCTTCCCGACTGCAAAACAGCAAGCAGAGAGGGGCTCAGCCATGGCACAGGCAGAAATGCTCTAAAACACCGCGTCTGGAGGAGGCAGCTCTCACCACCCCAGCTGCACAGGCGCACATGTGGGAGGCAGGGAGGGCCCCGAGGCAGCTGAGCCCCCAGCCAGGTGGCTGAGTAGAGCCCCCTCACCCCCACCAGGCTCCAGAGTCCCAAAAGGAGGGGGCCTTGCATGCCTGGGGAGCTCGCACCGCCCCTGCCCAGGTCCTCCTCGACCAGGAAAGCCCAACTGGCACAAGAACCGTAGGTGACAATCAGAGCTAATGGCTGCCAAACAAGACGCACCTCTCGCGCCTGTCCTTGTTCACCTGCAAATGCCACCTTGTCGGTGGCCTGCAAAGGAGCCTACTTTTTACTGCCTGTTCCTTCAGCCAGGCCCTAGGGTCAGGCCCTAGCGTCAGTCTGGAGTGCGTGCCTGACTGCCCAGCCCAGCACAGGGTCTTCAGCAGCCCCAGGAGGAACCCACCACCATCGTGACAATGGCTTCCAACCTAAGCCTGTGCAGGCAGGTCCCCTGGGGCCTGGCAGGGGCCGCAATGCTGACTGCTGAATTGCTAATCATCTGGAAGGGGAAGGAGGGTGACGAAGGGACATTTGTTAGGCCAGGCCCTCCATGGCTCTCCATGGACACACCCCACTGTGTGTCTGCCACGGTGCTGGGAGGCCCAGCAGGAGCCTGCTGGGCTGAGCTGGCTCCAGGCCCTCTCTGCTCTGGGCTGCAGGAAACAGGCAATCCTGGCTGGGAAAGCAGGCATCCAGGTTGGAGAGCCCCTCCCCATTTCCTAAGCAGGACAACAACAGGCTGGGGGGACGGCGGGACCTCTGGCCACCACTTGGATGGTGCAGGGCAACCCAACAGGGCCCCTCCGGAGAGGCCTTTGCCCGTCCTGAAGCCTCAAAAGTGCACGGCGCGACAGAGGGCACTCGTACCCTAACAGCTGACATCCGCCAAGGGAAAGAGCCTGCCTTCTCATCTTTACCTGGCAATGGCACTTGGAGTTTCTGAAAGAAACTGGGCTGTGGAGAGACAGCTGTCTTTAAATCTCCCTGTGAACAGCACAGGTAGGTGACAAGTGCTTTGAGGACCAGCCCTGAGGTCTGCTGAGGCAGACCCAGCAGCGCAGCTGAGCCAGGGAGAACTCAGCCTCCTCCTTTTGGCTGGGAGGTGCAAAGTTCCTGCCTCCTGGGGGAGACAGGGACCCCAGGTCCTCTGGGAACTCCCCTAGGCAGGGATTCGGGCAATGGGGCGAGCAGGGTCAGGGTAGGGGGGACAGGTGGAAAGATCTCTGTTCTCTTCTCCCGAAACGCTCTTCCCTGGCGCCACTGAGTGAGCAGAGAAGAGAGGAGGTGGAATTCCAAGAGCTGCTGAAGGGACAGGAAGTGCACTGCACAGGGAGTGACCCTTCTCAAGACACCAGCACCCCTCCCCTCCCCCCCTGGGCAGTGGATCAGTCCTGGCTGGGTCTAGGCAGCAGGAGAGAATTGCAAGAAAACACACTGCTTGCTGGGACTGTGGGGTATTTCCTGAACAATCCCACAACAACCAGGACAGGCCACATGTGGACCCAGTATTTACAGGGTAAGCTCCAGGCGATGCCAGGGGCTGGGCAGACAGAGGGAATGTGGCCCCTGCCTGCGAGAAGCCTGCAGCCACGCTGGGCTCAGCCCTTGCCCCAGCTTTTCTAGCCCGCAGCTCTGAGCAGCGCCTCCCATCACCCCCACTTTCCACAGTGGAAGGGAAGCTGATGGCAGGTGACAGCTGCCGCTGGTGCAGGCCAGTGCTGAGCAGGTCCCACGTGGGCTGCTGACAAGGAGCTCCTTTCCCCTCGCAGGCCCGCCCTGGTGTGCATGGGTCGGCCTGGGCTTCAGGAGCCTGTGAGGTCACCACTCCCACCACTGAAGATGTCACAGAGCTCCAGGGACAGGCCCCTGTCAAGCCACGCCTCCTCTTCCTTGGGACTGGCAGGAGGCGGGGGCTCTCCCTGCTTGTGAGGTGCCTGGCCTGGTCGGGAATGTCAGACACTGGGAGCTGAGGGCTCAGGAAGGGAGCGGGGCGGCCCCCACCCCAACTGAGGCCTGGATTGTACAAGGGATTTGTTCTCGCTCTGCTATGCAAGGGAGCGACTGTGCTGCTCCCTGGGCCTCAGTGTTTCTCACGGTCCAGAGCACAGACCTTCTCCTTCCTCACGGCAGAGCGCCCTCCCCGTTTCCATGGCTACCAGGACACCGTGGCTCAGTCCCCAGCCTGGCGTTGGTGGTTAGAGCCCGCCAATGCCTGCGCAGTTCCTGCACCGCTGGGCCCAAAGCCCCCAAGCTTCTTCCCACCTGCACCCCGTCCACTGGACCAGCCTGGCCTGCTCCTCTCCAAAGCTCTCTGCTGCTCAGGCTGGGTCTTAGGACCCACCGCTGTGCCCTGGGTGGCCCTGCGTCTGGGAGAGATGCTGCAGCCCCTCTCCCAAACACCTCTTATCCCCCCTGTGCAGGGCCCATCCCCATGTGCGCATCTTCCCTTCCCCGGCCTCCACAGGCTGTGTGGCAAGCATCTGTGGGCTTCATTTCTGGTCGGCGAGCCCTGCCCCTCTCTGAGCCGAGCCCAGTGGGAGGGAAGTGCCTCCTCCTCACCCCACACCCGCCCTCCAGCCCTGGCTAGGTGCTGGAAGCCACAATGAAGAGCTTGCACACCCTCCATTGGCTACTCCGGCTCACCTCAGAGGCCAGCAGGACAGCTGGGGCTGCCATGGCCTGCGAGGGGCAGCGGCTTCCACCTGCCCCCAGCTCCTAGGAGGTGTGAGGGTGAGGGTGGAGGGGCGGAGCCTGGGAAGGAGCCGCCCCTGCGCTCTGCTCTCAAGGTCACACTCCAGCCCTCCCCAAGGCAGCTCGCCCACAGCTGGGCACGGATTTGCTGGATTTTATGAAACACAAGCAGGCAAACTGCTGTTGAACTGCCTTGTCCTCCCCGCGCACGGCTCAGCAATGTTCTGCTCGTCTTCGGTGACTAAGCAGGGTGATGTACTTTTGCTCTTCCAACCAAACCACAGTGAGAGGAAAAACACCTGACAGCCTTTGCCAGGAGCTTCTAGAGAGGAGGAAAGGAAACGCTCGGGCTGGGTGCCTGCTCAACACCAGACACGGGATTTGGTGCCCTTCCGAGGGTTCCTTATTTAGTCCTCTCCATGATCTAACGGGCTAGGGACGCCCCAAGGTCACCGGGCTGGTAGGCAGTGGAGCTGGGATGCGAGTGCAGATCTGCTGATGACGGCAGCGATGCAGATGGGGGTGCCAGTGGGGGGAGCAGCACTCAGGTGGGGGCCAGCGGGGGTCACCGCACAGAGGCAGGGATGACAGGCCACAAGCCATGGTACTGGGGGCTGGGGGTGACACACTTGGGGGCCCCCACAGTCAGAGGTTTGTCACGGGGACAAGGAAGCCAAGCACACATGGGGACAGGCTGAGCATCGAGCACCATTCCAGAAGTGCCACGCGGGTGTGAAGCTCACTGCATCCGAAAGTTTGAGGCCCGCTGTGGAGGGAGAGAGGGGCAGCCGGGGCAGAGGCCATGGCGGCCACACCAAGGAGCTCAGGCTGCTCTCCAACAGCTGTCGGGGCTCCAGCAGGGTCCGGGCAGAGGGTGCTGTGAACACACCGCCCACAGAGACACAGCCAGCACGTGCTCGTCTCTCACTGAGCAGCCCTGATGTTCCAGTAAGGAGAGAACCTGGCTGGGCTGTGACGATGGCAGAAGTGGCACCGTGTGAGTTCCAAGGCTGGGTTAGCAATGGCAGCACGGGGAGTGGGGGTGTTGCGGTGCAGCAGGTTAAGCAGCCGCTGGGGATGCCCACATCCCATATCAGAGAAGCTGGGGTGGAGTTCCGCCTCCACTGCGATCCGGATCCCTACTAATGCAGAGAGTAACAGGTGATGACTCAGGTTCTTGGGCCCATGCCACCCACATGGGAGACCCAGATGGAGCTCCTGGCTTCTGGCTTCTGTCTGTCCCAGCCTCAACTGTTGTGGCCATTTGGGGAGTAAACCAGCAGATGGAAGCTCTCTCTCTCTCTCTTTTTCCCTTTAGCCCCTCTCTGCCTTTCAAATAAATAGACATTAAAAAGGAAGCAGTGGCAGCCCAGCCACTGCTCAGGGTACGCTCTAGAGGCTAGCCCTTCAACTCAGCCACCATGGTGTTGGGAAGCCCAAGATAGCCCATATGGAGATGCCCATGGAGTGAGAAACTGAGGCCGGCAGACCTGTGAGTGAGTGATCCTTCAGATCACCCCTGCCCCTGACCTCCAAGCAGCTTCCAATGCTGCAGCAAACAGAGGCACTTTCCCTGCCAGGGCCCGCTCCAGTCACAAAATCAGGGGCAGAGTAAAACCCTCATGGTCTGGAGCTGCGAAGCTGTGGGCTGGTTTCTTACACAGCTGCAGGAGATCTGAGCGGCAGACCTGTGCTTCAGAACGCAAGCTCCCATCACTGTGGGAGAATGTGCTACGGAGGCAGACTGGGGCAGGAGGCAGGCGAGACAGGGCTGAGCTGAGCAGAGGCAGTGGGCCTGGGGGTGGATGGGGAGCAGGAGATGGTGGCAGAACCCAGGGGTCAGAGTCACAGCCCAGGGCTTCCCTGTCACCTGGCTTTGGGACCAGCACATGGTGAGAGTGGAAACCAATAACAAGCAATCGCCTTGGACTCGGGTCACTCCTGAAAGCCTTCCTTGTAATTGTCACCACCAAAGGACAAACACCACAGGGTGTTCAAAGGAAAGAAAGGAGGAGTGACATCAATCCCTTGAGCTAAGGGTAGAAGCTCTTCCATTATAGGCAGCACCACGAAGCAGGCCTTTCACCAGCCAGGCGTGAAGTGCACAGCCCTGGGCTGTCCAGAGCAGCTCTGTCCCACACAGCCTTGGAAATCCCAGCACAGGTGGACTAAACCAAATGCCAGCTGGGCCCTTCTGCCTC